GAAGCGCAGTCTACCCACTCCCCCCACCCCCCAACCTGTAATAGGAAATTCTCCTATTTCGAGCCCACCCCACACCAGGGGTGGTTATATCTTGAGGGTTAGAGCAACACGCTAGATCAATCTTGAGGGTTAGAGCAACACACGCAGGGCAGGCACGGAAACATCATGGGTTCTAATTGCTACCCAGTTTGAGTGACGCTCGGCCCTTGCACCATGCACACCTTGCCTTCGCCGGAGCCATGAGCGTGCAATGAGGTTCTCCCGAGCGCCACGGTTCAGCAGCAATCCCCGTTTTGCAACACCAAGGCCAGGAGCCTGTGACATACCAAGATGTGCCCGTGGGCCATCTTGGGCGATAGGTCGTCCAAGGCCCGAGAAACCAATGCCAATGCCAGTGCAGCCGACGTCTTCTCCTCCAAGGCATGCCATGCAATCGAAATTTGTTGTTGTTCCATGTCTTTAGGAATTGGGCACGTCTCTCCCAGCCCTACGCAAAAGCAGTCCGTGCGTCAAGCGTGTACAAAATACCTGAATTCCGTGAGGAGGCTGCTGGGAAGAGTGCGCTGTGACGACCCCTCTGGGGAAAGGTGGGCTCGCTAGGGTTCTTCTGGTGCAGACGGACGTGATGAAAGAAGGCAAGGAACTCAACGTCGTTCTCAAGTGTGTTTTCGGGCCAGCGCTGGAAGATCCGTGCAAAGGCAGAAATAATGGATCGCTGTAGCCACGGCTTCGATAACATCCCCAAGGTGTTGGGATGGCTGGAGTCTGACACCGGCCTGACTGGATTCTTGCTCCAAGTTTTTGGTCCACCGCTACAACTTGCAGCCACCACCATGGATGTCGCAGCATTTACCCACGCGTTGCGCGCCCTGTCTGGACCGATGCCGCACATCCATTCGATGGATTCGGTTCATTTAGATATCAAACCTCCAAACCAGTTGAGCCCCCGCTTGTCTGACTTGGGGATGTGGCAGCTGGCTGCAACAGACTGGATGCTCGCCGACTTGGATGCTGCACTGGTGTTCAAGAGGCCTGAACAACGCATAGCGCGCCGTGTGCCGGCCAGCTACCTGTATGCCAGCAACGAAGCACAACGCTGCGATTATTTCGGGACGATGGAAGACACTTCTGCCTTCGGCGTCTCTTTTCAAGAAGCCAAGATTCAGAAACGGGACTCATGCCTGCCGACGCGCAAGATTTGCGATTGGGGTTGCCGATGTTTGAAATTTGCGATTGGGGTTGCCGATTTGAAATTTCTCAAGTTCGACTAACGTGGAGCAACTGTGGTATTTCGAAGAAATGGAGCAGCTGTGGTATTTCCTACGAAGAAATGGAGCAACTGTGGTATTTCTTACTATGAAAAGGAACAGTTGTGGTATCTTTGGTAGGAAATGGAGCAATTGTAGTATTTCTTATTAAGACACCCTTATACAAATGGCTAGAAATGATCCATTTCGTCTTCAAATTTATAAAAATAGCCAGATTTCAAAAAACGCAAAATTAAGGAACTGAGGGGTTCAATTTCTTCAATTTAGCCATATGTGAGGGGAACGTTCTCAGTATACTATGGCTATGTAGGTGTATAGTATATGCGTGTGTGTATTCATATGTACAACTGCAATACGACCAAACGTATTCAAACGTGATACATGTACATCCGCCATATATGCAGTATATCTATACATATAGTAGTAACTTGTGTTATACATTATTTCATCTATTCTGCTCTGTATTATGTTGTATATTACTATGTTATATTCGGAGACAGAAAATATGGCTCAGGTCGGGCTTTGTCATGGCATCGTGAAGCCGGGAACGGGCGTGTTTTCTGCGCCTTTGGCTCTCAGCCGAGCAGACAGGCACAGAGCTTGTAGGGATGGAGGACTTAATAAGGAATGGAAAAAGCTTGAATTCACCAACTCATGTAGGGCTTTAGGGTGTAGGGCTAAAGGCTGTGGACCCAACTAGCAGGTTAATTGTGGAGATCAGTGGGACTCGGGAATGCTTATGGGGATTAGAAGGATGCTTACTAAGCCCCCCAAACCCCAAGCGGACTTTGTGGAGTTTGTGTTGAAACTTGGCAGACCCAGAGCCCAAAAACGTTCAATCCTTGCCTACCCTGCGCGCAGGCCTCTTGGAGCTTGCTCCACGGAGGGCCGTGAAGCGGTGCGAGCTGCTGGGTTGTCCCAAGTTCTGGGTTGCTTATATGGTGAATAATAAGGAAGCCTCTTGTTTACTGTATACCCCATAACATGGTAAGGAAACCCTACTATTTGCTACATGCCCATCACATGGGTAATTTACGTGAAGTTCCTCATCAGCAACCCGGTTCGGTTGCATATAGTCCCCCTTAAGTAGATAAAATATGGAATATGGGGTATGTGGGGATCTTATTATAATATACTCAAAGCCATATTCTATCTAATTAAGGGGAGCCAAAATTCCTATACATACCCAATTATAACATAGTAGTTTCCGTTTTCTTTTCCATTATCCTTATATAACCCCTAAAACGGGCCCTAATAATGTACCCCATATTCTACTTAAGGGGGATTATAAGGCAGGGGGATGGGAGCATGGCAGGTGACCCGCTACCGTGTTCTCGGATATTTTCGTGGAGCTTGGGGCAGCTACAGCTTGCTACAGGCAGGGTCTTACAGAAGTTATATAGGGTTAAATAGGGCTATTGAGGGTTATATAGGGTTATACAGGGGTATGTAGGGTTATATATGGGTATGTAGGGGTATGTAGGGGTATGTAGGCAACAAAGTTTCGGAGAGCTTTGAATGAATTGGGAACAAGCCACTCATTCTACACCCCACTACAGCGACTTAGCACCTGTTCGCTGGTAGGCCCTGGCTCCCTCAACCTTTGGTAACTCAAAGATTTCTGTTTAGGGTTTAGGGTTTAGGGGAGAGCATGGTTCAGGTGCAGATCGAGCACGGACGCCAGCACCAGATCCGTATTTTGGCAGCTCTTATGAGACGTATATTGGGGGTTATGTTGGCGGAGATTGGGGGTATATGGGGGGTATATTGGGGTTTCATTAGGGGTATATTGGGGGCATGTCGGGGTTCTGCGGCGATTTCGTAGGGTTGACAGACCTGGGCGCGTGAGAGAATTATCCTGGTTGGTGTGGTCGAGTGGGCTCCAGCACTGTTGTCTGACTTATGGTGGTAGCCTGAGAAAAGTCTCATTTATTCCAACCAACCCTTCCCTTTTAGTCTTCCTGTCTTTACAATATGCTACGCTTCCAACATGACTTCGATCACCATGCCGATTATCTAGGCCACTGCCCCGTTGTCCTGCGGCCATGGCTTGCTGCTGGCTGACTTGTTTGGCCTCTGCAGCTCGCCGCTGGCCTGTGGAAATCGATCAGCATGACAGCTCTCCCAGAAGAAGAGGTGTTCCAGGTAGTGGCATCCGAAGATGTCGGAAAGCTGGGCCTGGTGTTCATGAGTTTGCCCCCGGGCCATATCGAGGTGAAGTCCGTGTCTGCTGGGAGCTGGGCCGCAGACCAGGACATTGTAACTGGAGATCTGTTGGTGGAGGCACAAGGCAGAGACCTAGAGAGTGTCTCTGATGAGGACTTCCGTGATTTCACACAACAGCGTCCCCTCACTCTTGTGTTCCTGGCGAGTGATCCCGATGTGCAGTCAAAGAGGCTTGCGCGCATTGCGGCTGCCGAGGCGGCCAAGGCCCAGGCAGCAGCAGAGGCCGAGGCAGCCAAGGCCAAGGCAGCTGCGGAGGCTGAGGCAGCCAAAGCCAAGGCAGCCAAGGCCAAGGCGGCCGCTGATGTGGCCAAGGCTAAGGCCGCAGCAGAGGCCGAAGCAGCTAAGGCCAAGGAGGCTGCTGAAATGGCCAAGGCCAAGGCAGCAGCAGAGGTTAAGGCAGCAGAAGAAGCTAAGGCAGCGGCAGAGGCTGAGGCAGCTGAGACGAAGGCAGCTGCTGCAGCAGCTTCTAAAGCAGCAGCGGCTCAAACTGCCACCAGCACGCCCCAGCCTCAAGCTCAGGCCAAGGCCAAAGCGGAGCCCAAGCCCCAGCCACGTCCTAAGGCAACAGAAAAGCCAGCAGAGAAGCTACATGTTGAGGCAGCAAAGCCTGCGCAAACGCCCAAGACACTTCAAGCAGGGAAGGACGACCCGTCCCCTGCGCCGGCCAGAGTGAAAAGCCCCGACCCCACACAAGCATCGCGGCCAGCGCCCGCGGCGCCTCCAAATTCAGGTCCGACATCACATGCAGCGGATGGTGCAGAACCAGCACTAGAGTCACTAGAGGTTCAGCCTGCCCCGCCTGCAGCGTCAGCGCAAGTGGACATGCCCATGTCCCCAAAGCCCGAAGGTATCACAGAGTCAACACCCACTGAGGCAGCCAAGCCAAGGCTTCAGGAAGTTCCTGCTAAGGAGACAATGAAACACACTGAGAGCAAGGAGGCCTTGGAGACATCTCAGCACAGTCAGCAAAGGCAGTCGGCTGATAAGACAACTGGGCTGGAACACCAACCTTTGCAGCCAACTCACAGCGAGCCAGTGCCACAGCAAATCCCAAGCCGGAGGTCCAACAGCTCTGTCGTATCGCCGCAGCCTTCAATTCCTGAACCCATCTCTTTGCATTCAGTAGAGCCTGGTGCCAACCAGCTTGCAGACGAGCTAGCAGCAAGCCAAGCAAAGCTGCGAACAGCGCAGGTGGAGCGTGCAGCGCTTCAGGATGAGGCCGCGGCTTCCCGAGGCATCATCAAACAGCTGCGCAGTGAGCTCAAAGAGGCCAGGCGAGCCCAGAGAGACCCGGAAGGTGGAGAGGAAGCTTGGGGTGGCCGCGGTAGCCGCAGTAGCCAGGCATCCGACAGCATGGTGAGGCAGGTGGAGGTAAGTGAGCAGCGGCTGCAGGAGGAGCTCGATGAGACCCGGGGCGAACTTGAAGCGGCAAACCAGCGCAACTGGATTGTTGTTGGGAGAGCTCTGCAAGTTAACACGTTCGTATGATTGAGGTTCAAGACATATGAGTCGGTAGATCTTTGATGTTGCCGCAGCCATGCGCCAGGCAACAAGAAGATGAACGGGTCTTCCGGACAGCGGGATCAGCTGGTTGGTAGGCATCCAGGGAGCGGGTAATATGTGCTATAGAAGTACGTAACTTTTTAATTAGAGTTGTTTGATTTCGTCGTTAACTATTCATATCGATACGACGACAAGAGGCTACCACCGCTGCCTACTAACTATTCATTTCCTTCTTCCCTGCTGGGAACTTCTCAGCGGTTCCTTTGTAACACCTCGGAGGAAGTCCTACACCCCGAAACCCTGAAACCTAACCATAAACCCTATAAACCTGTCCGAACCCCTATAAGTCCCCCAAAGGCTTCTAGGGCCCTCTTTCCTTCCACCATTCAGGACTGCGAGAGCAGATTCTGAGGACGGAAATGGAAGAGCTTGAAGCAACGATGAAGAAAGTAAAGGCCAAGGGCCTGGCCTGGTCCTGGGTTTGGGGTTTAGGGTTTAGGGTTTAGGGCTACAAGGAGATGTAGGGGTTACATCGGGGTTATATAGGGGTCAGAAAAGGGTTACATAGGGGTTACATAGGGNNTTACAGGGTTTAGGGTTTAGGTCTGTATGAGGACGTCAAGGGGATATGTGGGGATATGCAAAGGGGACAGGGTTTTCAAAGCATGCTGGGTGGTATGGAGTTCTTACCCTAAGAAGGGAGAAGCCCATGCAAGGTTAAATGGAAACATAGGGTTCAGGATGTTCAGGACTTTGGGTTAACTTGATGGAGGTTAGTGGGGAAGGAATGAACGGACAGAAACATGACACCTATTAAATCGTTTAGGGTTAAGGGGGGGGGGGGAGGGGGGTTCAAGTTTTAGGGAAGGAAGGAATGGACCACAAGACGCAAACGCGTTTTACATTTTCTGGGGGGTGGGGTCGGGATTGAGCATTACTGGTGGTCGGGTTGGAATGACGGAATAGGTTATTGGGATTACTTTTGGAAATTATATTGGAATCATTGTAGGGATCCATCCTGATGTTAAGGGTTTCCTGTGCTTTGGGTTTATAGTCCCCCTTAA